AGATATTAATATCAAGGAAATACTTTGTTCATTTCCTTGGTCACAGAGTCTCCAGTGTCCATTTCGAAGATGGCTGGGTGGCCTTATAGCATGCACTTCATGGCAGAGGAAATCCTCTACCCCCATCAGGAATCAGATCATGGCTCTCTAATCTATAGCAACAATTATATGGACTGAGATATACCACTTCTTGGCATGGAGAAAATGCAACAGTGATAACATAATTCTGGTCCAAGAAAACCAGGGGGGACTGAAATTCAATGAGACACATCTGCTTCTGATATATGCTGATGATGAAAACTAAAAGGGAATAACATAAATACCACAAAGAAAAAAAAAACACTGAAGCTCTAACTGACACTAGTAAGGAAGCTGGTCTAGAGGTAAACAGAGCGAACTCTGTATATATGTTTATGCCTCATCACCAGAATGAGGGGCAAAGTAACAATATAAAGATAGAGTTGAAACATTTTTGAATTAAATAATTAGAGGCTGGGGCAAACTGCATAATGAGCAGCTTCATAACTTGTACTCCTTGCCAAATGTAATTAAAATTATTAATTCAACGGTGGTGAGATTGGCAGGGCATGTAGCATGGGAGCCACCAGAAATGCATAATAGGTTTTGGTGGAAAACCTAAAAGGAAAGTAGTCACTAGGAGATCAAATTGTAGGTGGGAAGATAGTATTAAAATGGACCTTAGAGAAACAGGATGGAGAGTATGGATTGGATTATTCTGGCTCAGGATAGGGACCAGTAGCAGGCTCTTGTGAACATGGTAATGAACCTCTGGGTTCCACAGAATGTTCGGAAATTCTATGAGTAGCTGAGTGATGGTTGGCTTCTCATGAAGGTCTGGGTACCATGGAGTTAAACAAGATGGCATAGCTGAAATTGAGAAATGCAAATTCAATGATTGAGGGTACAGTGTAAGTGAAATTCCCACCTTTGAGAGTCCATAATCTTCCTCTGCTCTGAGTACTTCTGAAGTGGACCTCAGAAGAATAGTAGGAGACTTGATCCTCTTATTGTGGTTCCACTCATAGCCTGCAACAGCCTTAAGGCGAACGAAGACGGCCTTACCAACAGCTTTATAGTACTCAGTTTTTTCTTTCAGCATGGGAAGTGAAGCAAGTAAATGATCAAGCTTGTCATCCCAGCTCTTCAGAAGCGTAATCTCCTGAGCCAACTGTAAATGTACACATAATAAGCATTAAAGGCAGGTACAAAAAATACCAAACACTACATTAATACAAGCAAATAGTGGTTGAAAATAAAGAAAATGTTCCAAACCAACGCATTTGAATATGTGCACTTGACATAAAATTCCATTCTTCCAGACTTATAACCCTTCAAGTGGGGCTCACCCCACTAGACTTTGCCTCCACAGGGTAAATTTTCTTTCACACTTCTGTTTCTCAAGCACACAGTTTGAGTAACTTTATGATACTGTGCACACTGTGACCTGTATCATTTAGTGCGTGACCTGTCTTGCCACATGCTTGCAAGGTTGAGCAATGATCTTACCTGTAAAATGGTCACATGGTATGAACCTCATATTCTTCTTCATATTGTCATTTAAATTTCTGAGGAATACAATGAAGCTAGAGATAAAACGGTCATACAGCTACAAGCTTTGTTAAGTTAATAGGAAAATTACTTAGGATATAGCAGTATTAATAAGGTTTAAAACTTCTGACATAAGGCACCTTATTGACAGCTGCTGCTGTGGTTTCATATGGGGCAATGGCGTTGAACATGCTGCATATGAGATTTGTCTCAAATTGCTCTTTGTTGCTACCAGTGCTGTATTCCAGCCGTGCCTTCATGAAGTCTGGAGCACTGTCCACTAGGTACAGGTGTCCCTCCTGCCCCTCTGCCTCTAGTTCCAGGGCCAGTTCCAGTGCCAGCAACCCTCCAAATGAGTAACCCAGCAAAGTGAATGGAGCACCCGGTGCTAGCCTGCTGTGTATGTGCTGCAGGGACAGATCAGTATGACTTCACATGATGTTATTTTCTCTCTGTCACGGTTACCCTGCAGTGTTAGGGCAATCATAACATTAAGGATGAGGTGAGCATGGTGTGTAGCATGCACAGAGAAACAAGACAGGTAAAAANTGTTATTTTCTCTCTGTCACAGTTACCCTGCAGTGTTAGGGCAATCATAATGTGACATAACTATTTAATCCTTGTCCATTGCTTAACAGCAGCCCAATAAGCAAGCAAGGCACCCCTAGGCATAAGCTAGCCAACACTTTGACAACAATAAAGGGAATATGCAAGAATAAGCAGATGACAAGAGAAAAGCCA